AGAGGAAACTCAGGAGCACACTGTGCGTGACTGCAAGTGCTGGGCCCGTGAAAGAGTCCCTCTCACCACCCTCATCAGTGACGAGCAGTGGGCCCGTCTTCCTCCGCACACAAGACATTGCGGGCTCTTCGATGAGGACCCAGCCCTCCTCGATCGGCAAGCCGACCTCGCGAGGGACCCGCTACCCCAACCCATACCGCGGCCCCCGCCTGAGGGAGATCCTGCGGCTTCAGCCCAGGACTCCTACACCACTTACCTTGACCACGACACTGGTTGGACATGGGTCTACGCTGCCACGGACGGTGCATGCACCAACCAAGCCATCCCTTTGCTTGCAAGAGCGGGCTACGGCGTCTACTACGGCATCGACCACCGCATGAACTACAGTGCGCGCGTTCACGGCATCACGCAGAACGCACAGCTTGCGGAGACCCTCGCCATTGTCCACCTCACGGCATGTGCTGAACGGCCCGTACACGTCTTCGTGGACAACCAGGCGGTGGTCGACGGCTTCCAAAGGATCATCGACGGACACTCACCTCCGCAGGGCACGCACGTGGTGTTCTGGGAAAAGGTCCACCGATGTGTCATGGCCAAGCCAAACATGTTCCGCGTAGAGAAAGTCGCTAGCCACCAGGGCGACACGGGCATCGACCTCGGGCTCATCGGGCCCATCGCGGAGGAGTTCAATCGTCAGGCTGACGCCCTCGCCACAGCGGCGGCACGTACTCATAACCTTCCAGACGACATCGTTGAAGCTGCCAAAGCACGACACCGCCAAGCGACCGTGCTCCATGGAGTCGCCGTTGCCATCTACGAGCGGAGACATCGTACACTTCCTCTCCCACACCGCAGGGCTGGGTTCACTGCTGCAGAACTAAACAAAATGGAACCAAATCCCCTGCTGTCTGACCAGGCTCCACCCGCGGCTGGACCAGACATCCCACAAAACCCCGACGAGCTCTGGGCCGAGGCCCAACGGGTGTTATTCGACGAACAGGAGGACGACCCGTTCGGCTTTGGTGGAGGTTTGGACTTCCTGGGCGACGAGTCAGCCAGCGCCAACCCTGCCCCGGCGGGCACCCGCACGGCGCCCCCGACTCCGCCATTGAGTGCGTCAGCCCACCCACATGACAACGCCGTTCCTTTTCAAGACGCTGATGAGCAGGACGATGACCTTTTCAGCCTCGGTGGGGGATCGGACGCTTTGGACGACGGACCAGCCAACGAAAACCCCGCCCCGTCGGGAAACCTCGCAAACCCTACTGCGACGCCGTCCCCAAGAGCGTTAACGCCCACATACGACGATATCGGTCACCGCCAAGACGCCGACCACGACCCGAGTGCCCCCCGAGGATTGGGTGGCATTGAGGACGCACCGCCGACACCACACGCTGCCGACCATGCCGCCCCACCGAGTCACCAACCCTCTACGCGACCGACCTCAGCGGCCTTGCACGGCATCACGACTGGTCCCACCGCGCATACCACTCCGCCTCCCCATCGTCAGCGACCCGCGGGGGCGGCTTCAGCCCCCCCGCAGGGTACTAAACCAGACAGGCCCTCGTGCCCCACCCACGCTTCCTCCGTTGCTGAGCGAGAGGAAGCGGCTCCCCTGACCTCTCGGGGCGCGGCCCTAGCGGCTCCAGCCCTGGGGTCGCGCCGGCCCCTCCAGTCACCTTTTAAGGGTGACGGACGTCAGCGTTCAGGGTCCCGCACGCCGCTAGCCCACCTGGACAGGCGTACCGAGGACCTCGCCTCTGTCTCGAGGTCCTCGGCGGATGTCACCGAGCAGCCACCTCTCACCGACCGTGAAACCGAGCTGTCTCAGGCTATGGCTGCCCTTCAGCAGAGGTGCTTAGCTCTCGCCGCGGACCTCGCCGCTGCCCAAGCTCGTCAAGGTCCTCTACTCCAGCGCCTCCACAGCGCTGGGCGAGCCTTCGCCGAGCTGCTCACTCCTCGCCCGATGGTGTCGTGCCGTCACTCAACATCCAAGCTATGTTGTCATCGTTCCGCGGCGCTCCACCTGGTGCCCCGCGCTGATCTCCTCCTTTCTGCCTGCCCGTGTGTACGTGTGGCTCCGCGTCCACGGTGTCAGGGCGTGGGGGCGGGGGGTGCCCCGTCACTGCGCGCCGCTTAGCGGCCAAGCGCCCAACTGGCGGTCCGCCAAGCCGCCTAGCCACGTGCCAGCACGTCGCCTTCCTTGTTGGGGCCTTTTACCTCACGCGGTCTGTCAGGTGAGATCTTCATCGTCTGTCCGCCGTCTGTAGCGTCAGTCGCACTGCGCCGGGGGAGGGGGTTTTGTAGCCCGCCCTCGTATCTTAAGGCTGCACCGCCGCAAATAGTGCATGCGAGTTGTCGCACCGCAGTGCGCCTCGCGGACGGACCCTGGTCCGCCTACTTGTCCGATCTCTCTCTCTCTCTCCCTCTCTCTCGCTCTCCTCTCTCTCTCTCTCTCTCTCTCTCTCTCTCTCTCTCTCTCAGTCTCTCATCCTCCTCGTCTTCTCTTCTCCCTTCTCTTTCTCTCCTCTCTGTCTCTGTCTCTGTCTCTGTCTCTGTGCTCTCTCTATCTCTCTCTCTCCTCCTCTCTCTCTCTCTCTCTCTCTCTCTCTCTCTCTCGTCACGGGCTCGTGAGATCAGCCAGGGTGGCTCCCCCTTGGGGCTCCCAAATGATGCCCCTGGCAGCGTTTTGTGACCATGAGGCTCTCAAGAGATACATGTTGGGGAGGCCAAACGGCAATTCTAGCTGAGGCGTCCCACCAAAATCGGCGCGAACGGGCTCGTGAGATCAGCCAGGGTGGCTCCCCCTTGGGGCTCCCAAATGATGCCCCTGGCAGCGTTTTGCGACCATGAGGCTCTCAAGAGATACATGTTGGGGCGCCAAACGGCAATTCTAGCTGAGACGTCCCACCAAAATCGGCGCGAACGGGCTCGTGAGATCAGCCAGGGTGGCTCCCCCTTGGGGCTCCCAAATGATGCCCCTGGCAGCGTTTTGTGACCATGAGGCTCTCAAGAGATACATGTTGGGGGCGCCAAACGGCAATTCTAGCTGAGACGTCCCACCAAAATCGGCGCGAACGGGCTCGTGAGATCAGCCAGGGTGGCTCCCCCTTGGGGCTCCCAAATGATGCCCCTGGCAGCGTTTTGTGACCATGAGGCTCTCAAGAGATACATGTTGGGGGCGCCAAACGGCAATTCTAGCTGAGACGTCCCACCAAAATCGGCGCGAACGGGCTCGTGAGATCAGCCAGGGTGGCTCCCCCTTGGGGCTCCCAAGTGATGCCCCTGGCAGCGTTTTGTGACCATGAGGCTCTCAAGAGATACATGTTGGGGGCGCCAAACGGCAATTCTAGCTGAGACGTCCCACCAAAATCGGCGCGAACGGGCTCGTGAGATCAGCCAGGGTGGCTCCCCCTTGGGGCTCCCAAATGATGCCCCTGGCAGCGTTTTGTGACCATGAGGCTCTCAAGAGATACATGTTGGGGGCGCCAAACGGCAATTCTAGCTGAGACGTCCCACCAAAATCGGCGCGAACGGGCTCGTGAGATCAGCCAGGGTGGCTCCCCCTTGGGGCTCCCAAATGATGCCCCTGGCAGCGTTTTGTGACCATGAGGCTCTCAAGAGATACATGTTGGGGGCGCCAAACGGCAATTCTAGCTGAGACGTCCCACCAAAATCGGCGCGAACGGGCTCGTGAGATCAGCCAGGGTGGCTCCCCCTTGGGGCTCCCAAATGATGCCCCTGGCAGCGTTTTGTGATCATGAGAGAGTGTGAGTGTGAGCTTAACTTATCTTATCTTATCTTGAAATCTCTTCTTATCATATCCTGTGCTATTCTTGTATTATCTTATCTTATATTGTAGTATATTATCTGGTCTTATATCTTGTAGTATCTTATCTTATATTGTAGTATCTTGTATTGTCTTATCTTATCTGGTAATTATCAGTGGGAGGAGGGAGGCGGGAGGCGGGAGGAAGAAGGAGGAGGAGGAGTGGGAGGCGTCAGAGTAATAACAAGAACCCCAATCCTTAGGATATGGGGAAAAATATACCCCAGACTATGTTTGGACGATGCTGTGATTATTTCGGGGGTATTTTCGATGTTTCGTCGGCATAACCCCTGTAGGGCGGACGCGCCGGACATAACCCTAGTCACGAGTGCCGATCCTCAAGAATGCAGCATGCACTGTCGGAGGTCTGCACCGCCGCCTTCCTGGCGGTCTCCGCGTGCCTGGCGCGGCGGCGACCCCTCGTCGTCGTCGTCGTCCTCCTCCTCATCCTCCTCCTCCTCCCCCTCCCGTCTCGTGTTCTCTCCTCCGTCCTCCGTCTCCTGTTCCCCTCTTCCTCTTCCTTCTCTTCCCGAGACCCAGAAGCTCCTCCAGCCCTTGGCTTTTCCTGAAGATGCCCTGAAGCCTCCTCCATGGGGCCCCAAAGCCCTCCACCTCAGCTTTGAAACGTCTCCAGTGGCCCTCATGCTTTCCGCAAGGGCTCAATAGTTTCTCCGTGAGGCCGTGGGGGCTGCGGGGACTGTCCCAGAGGTTGTGGGGCCTCTCCCGAAAAGGTTTTGGGCCACTCGGGCGTGGCGAACACCTCCCCCAAAGCTCGTTGTCACTCTGACACGTTTGTGAACGCTCCCTGGAGCTGGGAAGCGGCCACCGGACGATGCAAACGCAGACAGACTTGAGCATGGACCGACCGTCCCAGCATTCCTGTTCTAAAGAACCCAAGAATGTTCTAAGAACAAACACAAGGTTTTTAGAACATCCAAAGGATTTGGGAAGACAAAGCAGCCCCATCCAGAAATGTTCTAAGAACAATTCGTGCAGACAACACATTGGAACTCTCTGTGGTGGGCCTATATGCGAGCCAGGACGGTTCGCCGCTGCTTGCCAGACAGATGTCACCGATCATTGCTGCACCGCCCAGGTCATAAGACTGGCGCCCAGGAGAAAAAAACTGCGGCGACCGCGCGGAGCCCCCGCCGCGGCGGGGGAAGCGAGCCCGCACGATCTGGCTGCACAGCCGGTCCTCGAGCGCGTCCATCTGCTGCTTCACCTCCCCCCATCCCGTCAGCCGATGCTGTGGGCGAGGTGCAGAGCTGGTGCCCGTGTATGGGTCGCCTGGCTTCTCTCAGCGCGCCCCGCGGTGCCCAACGGGCGGTTGTCTCTAGACAAGCGCGCTCCACGACCCGCAAAGTAGCTGCTCGCGAATGGCCTGGATCCGCCGCGGGGGATCTAGGATCCGTTATATCGAGGCACACATGTGTTTGTCTGACGTTTGCGAGTACAGTCAAAACGTATAGTAAGGACGCGAGGTAAGGACGCAAGACCCTTGGAGGCCGAAATTGGATTTTTGGGGCGGGGGGCGGCCAGTGAAAGCGGCAAAGGACGGGCCGCAGATGCAAGCATACCAGGGTACCCTAGAGAAAGGCGCGCGTCCTTACTAGGCGCGTTGACTGCAGGCACTTTGCGAGCAGGGGAACTCGCTCGGTGAATCTTTGCACCCTCGGCGTGCACTCAGTCGGGCCATCGCCGGGCTCAGCCTGGGCCCAGGCCGCCGAGCACCGCGGCCCCCTCCTCGGCGCCTGCGGCCCTGCAGGAGATTCCCCCCTCCAGGGGGCGCAGGACGCCACGGTCTACAGCGTGTCTCTCCCAACATACCGGTGCCAGGGCGCGGGGGGAGGGGGCAGGCGAGGAGGTCGGCACGCTCGCGCCCTATCTGGCCTCGTATCCCTCCCCCCCCATCCCTTCCCATTGCGCGGACTTCCTTGTCCGCGGACGCGTGTCAGAGCCGACCAGGAGCTCGCGAAAAATCCCCTCGTGTGCGATGCGCAGTCGGGAACGTGGAGCTGCTGCGTCCATAGGGGGAGAGGGAGGAGGAGGAGGTGGCGGATGAGCAGGAGGATGAGCAGGAGGAAAGGGAGGGTTATCGAGGAGTACGAGGACGAAAAGTAGCAGCAGGAACTGGAGTGGAAAGAATTGTAGGAGCAGGAAGACTCGGGGAACGCGGAGAACGGGAAATGAGGTGGAGGACAGGGATGAAAAACAACTCCGATCCAAAAAAGTGGCCCAAGCTGGGGCGAGAGCACACACCTGAAAGAAGTGAGCCAAGCGCCAAACTGATCATCATCAGGCTCACGCTGCAGCGGAAGCACCACTCTGAGGTCTGAAGCACGGGAAATGCAAAAAACACGCCCAGGAAGATCAACGGCCCTAACCCGATCGGAAATAATAAAACATACGCGGAGAGGGCCGAACATCTTTCGCACTGGGTCAGGAGAGAGAGGAGAGTCTACAGTGGAGGCCAGTCCACAAGAAACCTTCCACAAGAAAACCCAGCCCAGAGACCCCAGGACGTCCGTCGACTTTTGGTGTGTGGGAACCTCGCGCTTTCCACAACAGAACCATCGAACCGCAACAATCCCAGGGCACCCCCGGAGGCAAGATACGCAGAAGGCATCTATACACAACCACTGTGCCAGGCCAGGGCCATCCTGGCCCTGGCATGGTGCATACGCCACTCTGGCCGAGGCAAGGAGGGCCTGTCACTATACACCATCCAGGGGCCCAGGATGGCCCTGGCCTGACACGGTGGTGGTCTATGGATGCCTTCGTCGGACAAGAAGAGTGCTTCTCGGCATGGGCCCCCACCGCAACTCTGCCTGCGGGGGTGAGGAGGGCGAGGCCGCTCCGTGGCCCGCACGCGCCTGCCCCCCGTGGGGCACCGCCGAGGTGCCCCTCCCGTCGGGCTTGCGCCGCCCTGTCCCCCGCAGAGCGGCAGCTCTCTGCCTTCGCGCGGCCCTGCGGGCAAGGCCAGTCTTAAGTCGGGCCTGTCCCCCTACAGGGGTTAAATAATCAAAAAATAATCCGCAACTGGTCTGGGGACTATCTTTTTAGTATTTTTTGACCTTCTTGGGATATTTTGGGGATATGTTATATTTTTCCTCGAACATCCCCCTGTAGGGGGACACGTCCGACATAAGGCCAGTCCTGAGGGGCTCCGAACTTGAAAATGGCCACGGCCCAAAGCACTATCCGCCACCGTGCCTCGAGGCACAGGCTGGAGCGCCTTCGGGTCACTTGCGTCGTCCGTCCTCGGTTCCGGGGACTCCTCAAAGGAGCGCGCCGCAGCCCAGGATGTCCCGGGCGCTTCTGGGCGGCTCTGAGACTTGTCCCATGGCGTCTTCCGAGCCCTAAGGAGGGCCCCAAGATCTTGGGACCGAGGGAGGCCCCAAGAGAGGCCCCAGAGCGGGCGCACGAATTTCAACTTCGAGCCTTTCAGGCCCCAAAGAAGCCCCACGAAGCTTCCAAGAGGCCCCTCAAGAGCTTCTAACAGACTGATGAACCCCCAGCCCAGGCACAGTTGACGCCTTTTTTAAATCGATATGGCCCGAAGTGGCCCACTTCGCTAGCACTTGAGCCACATAGCTTTCATCCAAGGGGGAGGCATCCCGAGAAGCCTCTGAGAGGGATCCCCAGAGACCCCACAGGCATCCAAGACGCACCTCACCAACGACGAAGGCGCGGTGGCGGGATAAGCCGAGGGCCACTAGACCTGGGCCGGCACTGAAACGGAAAGAGCGCTTCCGAAGCAAAGCCGAAATTACTCACACCACCGTTCGTACTGGGAGCCTTGGCGTTGAAAGCTTGGCACCCCTTGCTCTTGGGAGCCTTGGTGTTCAGAGATTGTTGCGTTGCCGCCCGTTCCGGAGCCTTGGCTGGGCCTTGGTGTCAGGAACTTGTTACGTCACCGCTCTCTGCTGGGAGTCTTGGTCTAATCAGCTTGTTTACGTCATCGTTCGCTCGTGGGAGCCTTGGTGTGAAGAGCTTTTTGCGTTACCGATCGCTCTTTATTGGCGTCTCTGGGCCTTCTTGGAAGCCCTATTGGGGCACTTTTGGAGCTTCTTGGGGCGAAAGGTTAGACTTGAAGGTTCGTGGTCCCCCTCTTGGGGCCGTCTTGGGGCCCTCTTGGGCCGTCTTGGGCGCCTCTTGGACCGTCTTGGGGCCCTCTTGGGCCGTTTTGGGGGCCTCTTGGGAGCCTCTTGGGCCGTCTTGGGGCGGTCCTTGGGGCCTCTTGGACATTCTCGCCGTGAAATCCCAAAAGCAGTGTATGCTGAAAATGTACCTGGTCCCACAGGAAATCAATGATTTTGGCCTCCTGGTGGCCTCTTGGGATGTCTCTTGGGGGCCTCTTGGGGCTTCTTGGGGGGCTCTTGGGGCCTCCTTCGAGCGTCTAGGGGCGAAAGGCTAGACTTTTCAGTTCGTGGTCCCCCTCTTGGGGCCGTCTTGGGGCTCTCTTGGGCCGTCTTGGGCGCCTCTTAGACCGTCTTGGGGCCCTCTTGGGCCGTTTTGGGGGCCTCTTGGGAGCCTCTTGGGCCGTCTTGGGGCAATCCTGGGGCCTCTGGGGCCGTCGTCAACACCGTGAAAACCGACAAGCCGTAAATGCTAAAAATGCACGTTTTCCAAAAAGGAAAATCAATGATGTTGGCTTCTTGGGGCCCTCTTGGGACGCCCATTGGGCGCCTCTTGGGGGCCTATTGGGCCGTCTTGGGTGGTCTTGGGCTCTCTTGGAGCGCTCTTGGGCCGTCTTGGGGGGGAACTCGAAAAACATGGAAACACCCAAAGGAAAACCCGAAAACGGCCAATACCAACCCTGCGCCTGGCCCTCCCCCCTTCCCTGGAACCCCTCCCTTAAAGGCTTCGCCCCACACTAGAACGTCATCACTCGTACCTCGCTCTTTCCGTTACATGGGCCGGCACGGGAACGGAAAGAGCGTTGCAGGAACTTGCCCGAGATGGCTCATGGCACCCTTCGTTCTCGGGAGCCTTGGCTTTGGGGTGAGCAAATGTAAAGAGCTGGTGGGAAGCTTGGCGCGCCAGTGACATGTATGGAATCCAATTCGCAAGCATGCGCGGCTGCGAGAGACAGCTAAATTTGATTTCGCGTGGCGAGCATCCCGTCTCGTCGTGATGAGGGGGGGCTTCCGACCTGTCGATTGCCTGGCAAGTTTGCTGGCCTCGGAACTAGCAGTGGCAAGGGCCTGGTCAAACCAAAAGGTTGGCCCGTGAACGGGCGGGGCACGATATGGAAAAAGAGTGCAACCCGCATGCATGATATATATATATATATATATATATATGATTTCATAGGTTATGAAATGTGTATATCTAAGATATGTATATGTGATTATGTGTATGTAGGGCGCGCGCGACTGAGCAAGCGTTGTGCCACTGCGCGGGTGGGGAGGAGGGGGGGGGGGAGGGACGGCAGTTGACATGCAACCAATATTTCGGCATCGCACCCCAGTGATACCACTGGGGGGGCGGGGTCGACATCGTCCGCGGGCTCGCCCGTGGGGATGCTCATCCCGCGCTGGGGAAAAGCGTCTGGGGCAGCGGGCCCACGACAGCGCAACCCGCACGCACCCGAATTTGGATAGCCAAGCCACAGGAAAGACAACTGTGTTGCCATGCACCTGGAGCTGGTAGGGGATTTCCCTCCTCCTACTCCTCCGCGTCCGCCTCCATTTTTCCTCCATCTCCTCATCCTCTTGGGCCTCTTAGATGTCAAAGTTTCATTAGCCGCTTGCCCTCCCTCCCGCGCCCATCGCATCGACACAGATGACGAAGAGGAGGAGGAAGTGGAGGAGGAGGAGGAGGAGGAGGAGGACGCGGAGGCGGAGGCGGAGGAGGAGGATGAGGAGCAGAAACACCGTCTCATCTTTCTCCCACGTTCTCCATTGTACACGTCATCGCCCTAATCCTCGCCCTCCCGCCTTTTGAAGGGGGAAGGACGAGGCGAAAGCGGCACGGAGCGAGGACGAGGACGCCGAGGACGTCGACCACCGAGGACGACGCAAGCGGCGGTGACGAGGACCCTCAAAAACACAATCAGAACGGCAGCTCGGAGTCTGGGCCCAGGACGCCGGCCCAGGACGACGCAGGGCAACGGCGACGAGGACCCTGACAGCACATTCAGAACGACGGCTCGGCGTCTTGGCCCCACCGCGAACCCAAACGGTAAGCACAGATCGAGCGTGCCAGGTCCAGCCTCGTCGTGTGCTCCCACTCGCGCTCCCATCCCCTCCACCCTGCCCGCTCTGAGCCCCCCGTTCCCCGCGGCGTGAAGCCGCTGACCACCCTGCACCTTCTGCGCCCCTCCAGATCCTGCCCGGCCATTTCCTCCCCGAATGCCTCTCAGCCCCCCGCCCTCCGAATCATGACGCTGCACGGCTGGCACACGCTTCCGCCACAGGTTGCGCACTGGACGGCTGGAACTAAAAATGCCTGCTAACTGTTGCGCCACAGGTTGCGCACTGCGCGGTCGAAACTAAAACGAGCTGCTAACGGTTGCGCTGCAGAATGCGCCCTTGGCGGCCGAATACGAAACGGCGTCGCAACGCCTGCGCCATCGGTTGCGCACTGGGCGGCCGAACCTAACAAGGCCCGCTAACGGCTGCGGCAAGACAGGAGTCAGGCAGACAAGCAGTTAGTCATTACTTCGTCAATTAACAAACGCCCACGCATGAAAAAACGAACTAAAGATATGGGATCCCCAGTCGGCGCTGGAAAACAATTGAGGGTACTCACGTGCCGCCCCTGGCGCGCTTCGGGCGCCGAAGCCAAGGAGAGGGAGGAGGCCCCAACGCCTGTCCAATGTATCGGCGCAGGCCTCATAAACTTGTGCGTGTGTGCTTAAATTTGTTTCGACGTCCCCCCCTTGGGACCGCGCTGAGGATGGCGCTCTCGTGCGCCGCCTTCGACTTCGTGGCCGCAGGCGAAATCCCCTGGCGCCCGCCAGCGGCCGTCGCGGTCGCCCGTTGTCCGTGGACGTTACCCCCCTCGTCGGTCGTCATTGTTGGTCGCCCATCGCCGCCACCGTCGGTCCACGGTCGTCCGTCGTCGATCGTCGACATGGTCCGTAACCCATCGTCGTCGTCGTCCGTCGTCGTCGCCGTCGTCCGTCGTCATCATCGTGGTCGTCTGTCGGCCCTCGCTGGTCGTCCATCGTAGGTCGTAAACCCTCGTCGTCGTTCGTCGCCACCTGGGGTAAGGGTTATGGACGCTGCCAGCCTTCTTGTTGGCCGCAGGGCCTCAAGAGGCACTCGGGGGACCCTGCGGGCGTGGACGGGGCAAAGGAGCCGAGGAGGGAGGCGACGGGACATAACTTTGAGAAATTCCCGGGGTTTCTGGAAAGGCCTTCGGCGACGATGAAGACGACGACGACGACGACGGCGGCGGCGGCAGCGGCGACGACGACGAAGAATAATAATAATAATAATAGAAAACAAGAACACGGCGGCGGCGGCGGGGCTGAAAACGAGGACGAGCACGATGACAAAGTGGTGGACGGGGAAGAGGACTTGGAGGGAATTTGACAACGGAATGTAAACAGAAGGTGCGATGTTACACGGGATGTTTTTGCATAGCGGACCGTGGAACATGTCAAATGTGAAGCGGGCGCGGTGCCTGGCCAGCCTACAAACGGCAGCGGCTGGCAAGGGCGAGAAGAGGCCGGAAGGACCCCGTTTGCGAGCGTGGTGATCGAACAGGTCCTTCGCGCACTCGCTGACAGTCAACAATTACAAAAAGGGCGATCTACTGACCGCGCCTTCACGAACAGTTGCCTGCTGCAAGGAAGCTCCGAAAATGGCCGCGCTCCTCATGAAAATGGCGCAGTGCCCGCAAGCTGGTCGACCGTGTGACACAGTCACAAGAGTCGCCCCTTCACTGTTGAGTGACAGAGCTGCGCTGGAAGCTCTTGGCGGCCTCTTTTTCCGCTTCCCGTCGCTGAGCTTGACCGCATCGCGGTCGCAGCCGATCTGGCCGCGCACCACGCTGGAAATGAGGTCCAGGCCCACGCTTCCCGTGCATGGGGCCAGCCCGCATGCCCCGAGTGGTGAGCCAGGGAAACTCCTCGATCTGGTCGGTGCGCAGCTTGTCAGCAAAGCACCAAAGGTGGCCTGGATATTCTCAAAGGGCGGCCGCAGTGGGTTCATGAGCAGGGCGCTGAAGACGGACATGCCGTCCGTGACGAGATCTGCAGGGATCGCGCAACATCATTCCTCCTTCAGTCCCCGAGCTCCTCGGCGGAGGAGGAAGAGGGGGCCGCGCGCCATCTCGCGCGACGCGAAGAGGAGCGCCTGCAGCCCGCGACTTCGCCGCATGCTGCGAGCGATTCGGAGCCGAATGAGGATCTGCAAACATAGATTGCGCGACCGGATCACTGCGCCCAGCAAGTAGCACGCCTCCTTGCCCGCGCGACGGCGCATACCGAAACGCGCGTACACGGACCCCCATCACGCGGCATGCTTAATCATCCTCCTCCTCCTCGAAGACCGGTCGCTGCGCGCGCTGAGTCGCCTGGCAAATTCTATTGCTGGGCATGCGACGCACGCCTTGGGCTTCTGCGTGGCCAGAACGACTGAGTTGAGCTGCGTCGCGCATCGGATGAGCAGCTTTTCCAAGCTCTCTACTGAAGGACGGCACACACTGCCGCACAGCGGTGGCTGAGAAAGGCGCAGGCCGCTGCTCCGAGGAGGGAGACAAAGTCTGAGAGCTGATCCAGCTCGCCAGCCGCGGCCATGACCAAGTCGACGAGTACGATCGGCATGCGAGCCTGGATGGACTCGTCCTGGTCAAGCGTCACGGCACCGTTGGCGCCGCGGCGATCATGCACTCCGCAGTCGGTGAAATCGTAGTAGCCACCTTCAATCTGACGAAGACGCCCTTGAAATTGCCGATCAGCAGGTCGACTTGCCCCTTGCGCCCAGCGATCTTTAGGTTGCCAACGCGGCTGGACAGCGCGGGCACTAGCCCCTCGGGGCCATCGGCGCCGCGGGCGCATATAGGCCCCGTGGACCCCGGGGAAAACAAGGAAACCACTGCACTGGACACCAGGGAACGGCTGCATTGGATCCCCCACTTGCCCCCCCACCCCACCTGACGACGCATGCTCGACCCCGTGCTCCGGACCCCGCCCGGCGGGCTTGGTTCCGTGCCCCAGCGAGCTCGCGACCGGGCCGAGCTTTGTGGCAACGGCTCGGGGCGCACCCTGGCAGCCCGCGCCCGGCTCGTCAGCGCTGGCACCCGGCCCGCTTGTCGAAGCTCTCGCATCAGGGCACCTGCCCGAGGATAGCTGCACAGCCGAGCGGCAGGGCGAAAAAAGCCTCGCGTGGTGCTCCACCTCTTCCCAGCGCCCACCTTGTTCCAGCGCCTCGGCGTAGGTCATGCCTCGCGAAGGAAAACTCCACTCGACGCCCGCGGCGCCGCGCGCCCGGTCTGGGCGACGCGCCGCCGCCAACGACGGCGGGCGCTGCGACGCCAGCTTCGCTGCACCAGCGAGCGTCTCCAAACCTCCGGCGCCCATGTCGCGGAAACCCCATCGGCGCCGCGCGGCGCCGGGTGCCCTGGACAATGTCGCCGTCTCATCGCTTCGTTACGGGCGCCCTTGAGCTGTCGCCCCTCGAAAAATTAGAACTGTGCCCAGATGGTGAGCTCTTGAAGGTAGGCCGCCGCGACCTCCGTCGGCAGCCTCGACGCGCGTTCGTCGGCCAGACGACCGCGGCCGCGACGGCGGCGTCGACGATAGCGCGGCTGGCCGGGGAGCGCCGGCACCGCCGTCGCCAGGCGCTACCTCGTCGAAGCTGAAGAATGCATCGCGCGCCCCAGCGTCAATATATAAATTCAAGCAACATGGCACGGCCAAGGCTGGCCTCGGGATGTTCGACAGAAGCGCGGATTTCTGCTGAATGTCTGCACTCTCCAGCTCGTCGGGCCCTGGAGCCAGGTATTCTGCCCCCTCGACTTCGCGCCAGGCCGCCACAGTCCCCTGTTGGATGTTGCCGGAGACGTCGCCGCTAATCTCCTCTGGGAAGGCCGAACTGGGCCGGCGGCGAGCCCCCCGTCGGCGGCGCCGGCGACGTCCCCGAGGAAGTCGACACCACATTCGTCGAGCGATCCGCCCAGGTCTCGTCCGGCGCCCGCTACCAACTGCGGCGCGTCACCCAGGATTAACTGCGCGATGCGAACTCCCTTCCAATGCTCGCCGACTCGCTGATGGGATGGGCGTCGAACTTGACGTCGTTGGAATGGAGATGCTGGATATCTCTCGGTATCATGAAGGAGCCACCAGATAGCCGCGCTGAGACTGCAGCCCGGCCAGTAGCCCGCAAAATTCCAGCCGCGCATCAGAAGTACATCATGAAAGTCAGGCAGCTCAGGGCACCTGCGGGAGAGATGGCGCAAGGCTCCCAGGATGCCGGGGCGCCGCCAGGTCTGCTCGGCGTTCTGCGCGCCCCCCGCGTCCTCCCAATGGCCAAACGTCGCGACCGCAGAGGCTAGCGCGTTGTGCCCCAGGTAGTCCGCAACGCGGTCCAAGGCCAAGCCTGCTCGCGCCACGCTGGTGCCCATGACGTTTACGACGGCGCCGATCTAGTCAAAGCCCTGACGTCTTGCGGTCTGCGTGCAATCTCGGCCCGGCGATGCTTGGCTGTCACCCTGCCTCGAGCTCGGTCTACAACGGCAACCAGCCCGACGCGCCCGTCGTGCTCAGGGGCCCGTGGATGTCCACCTGCTCGCCAGCGCCCAGGCGCCCTCCCTGGACTCGGTGGCGCGGGTCTGGAAGGCACGGCTGACGCGTGAGATCGACGCGGCCTCGATCATGCGTTGCTGGGCGATCTCTCGGAGGCGCCACTGCAGTCGACTGGGGTGCACTTCCCAACATGCAGAGAACCAGGCGCCAGTGCCAAAAGCACCAGGTACCTCGCCATCTTCGTCTGCTTCGAACGGCGGCAGCACGGGCGGCTGCCGAGTGAAGACGACGGACGCTGCGCGGTGAAATGCCGCCCCTGTGGGTAAGGCTGTTGCAAAGAAAAACATAATCCCAGCATAGTCGAAGTTCGCCGTGGTACCTCCGCGCTCTAGCTGCACTTCTGAGGCGCGAAATCCGGGTCGTGGCACGGAGCCGCGCCGGCCTCTGGTGCGACCGCGCTGACGAGGAGCCAAAATACCCACACGCACTCCTCTCCTCTCTCCCCCACAAACTGTGGCGCGGTTGCTCCGCCCTCCCCGTCAACGACGGTAGTCTCCATCGCGCCGAAGAGCTGGCTACATGAACGGTCGATGGCGGCAAACATCGTCGAGTCGTGCTTAGATGTGATGTGCTGGCCATTGCGCCACCGTGAGGCGCAGCAGATCATGCGGAGATCGCGCGATCCCTGTAGCGCAGCCTGTCACACTCGACGCGTTGGTAGAATCGTGTCGAAGGCAGGGACGGTCCGGCGTGCTGGAGAAGACCACTTGCGGCGCTCCATACAGTTATTGGTCACTGCGGGGATGAGGTCGAGGACGCCTTTTAAAAGACTGGCTGCTCGTAGTGTTCGTGCCATCTCCTCTCTGGTGGCGTGTCGCCACCGAAAGTGTAGCTTGCGCAGGTCTCGCCTGCGCGTTGCATGTGAATCATCGCGCAGCGCTCGTTTGCAACGTATACTCGGCCGTCTTATGGCCGCGTTGGAGCAATATTGGGGCGATGTTGAAGCCCATTGGGCCGTCCCGGGGCGATCCTCGGAGCCTCTGGGGCGTCTTGCAGCGTCGGGAAGCGGAACAAGCAGAAGTGCCAAAATTGTTCAAAAACCTGGAGAACATCAGTGTTGCGTGGCTTCTTCGAGCTCACTTTGGCGACCTTTGGGAGGCCTCTTGGGAATATTCGGGGCCTCTTGGGCCGTTTGGGAGCCGTCTCGGACGTCTTGGACCCTCTAGTGGCCCATCCCTCCACCGTGCGCGGGCT